AAACAATACAAATGTTCATTTCTGTTTCACAATGTCCCTCTGACAAAGGCATGAGATCTCCAACCTCTAGCTTCTCTTGTCTACGTCAGCTACTGATATCCATCCCAAAGTGTGCAAGATGTTACAGGTACGTGTGAAGCGATCACATCCGGGGATCACACAGCCGGCTCTAGTTTGGACGAAATTTCTGGATCTACTGCCTTCACCCCCTGGTCCCAAACTGTGCTTTGAAAATGTGGAAAAAAGCACCTGTCTATATTGAAATGGTTTCAGACACTTGATGATACTGATTATTTGAGCTAGCTTCTTATGATCATGCCACTTTGATGTACATGACTGTCCATAATACCCCCGTCACATTGTCGACGAGCTTCGGCCGTATTTGTCAATCGCCGAAAGATCGGCCGATTTTGAGATCGACCGACGATCGCGCGTATTTTTGGCTTGAAAATCGTCGCGGTCACATTGTGCGAGGCTCGGGCGATCGCTTGGCAATACATCTATGATAATTAAGTCCCTATGACATGGCACGCAGATGAAGCAAGGCTGTGTACCCACCAAAAATGAATAGTTTGGCCAATCTTTTTAATGTTTGACCTGTCGTTATATTTTTTAAGCAAAGTAATGGAGCGGACTGGCAGAATAAAATAGAAATACAAACAGGAATTCTGTGAAGGATCCAACTCAAATACTACCACAAGAGCCACAAATTCACACTACTGTCTGGTTAACACAACGACCACCTTTTTAACGAGACAGGAGTCGGCCGAAGCTCGCTCGACACACGGGCGTACGTCGCCCGAGTTACGGTCGACGATCTATCGATGCTCTTACGATCTCTAGACCATTCAACCAAAACGTACAAGACATAATGATTATCATTTTATCAAAATATTTTTATACACGCGTACCTGAACAAAGCTAATAAGATATATTGTTCTAAAACTTTGCCTGTATACTTCTGTCTAAAATAGTATGAATCTTCCGGTAAACAAGTTAGCCATTCAATGTCAACAAACTATAGACAGAGGTAAAAAGACCCACTTCAAGTAGTAAGTAATATATATCACATAACGTTCTTGTGGGCACCCTAAGAAAAAAGTCATGCAACCTCATTCCAGGATGAACAAGTGTAAACGTCAATTTATTATACAATCATCTGAAATAAGGCCACACACCTCCTAAAGGGACAAGAGTAAAGGATTTCATGTGCGTTTAATCAGTTGAGGTCAAAATCTAGGCATTTGGCCTTATATACTAGTAGTTAAAGCCTCGTCATCTTTTAAAACTGGTTTTGTTTATTAACGAATGTTGATTTAACAAAAGGACAAAAAGGACGATTTTGTCTATTTTTAGCCGTTCTCGTAGTCGTAAACTTAACTTTAACAATCAATGGGACGTTGTTCCTGCAAAATTTGCACAGTATACTGTCAATGCAATCTCAAATAAATGTCACAGGTGCTGAATAAATAATAACTTCACAGGAGCTCGGCCGAGGCTCGTAGAACCTTCGCCCGACACTGGCACGAAGCTCGCTCGAAGCACGAACGACTTAAAAAAAATTTGCGCAAGTCGGGCGAGGTACGAAAGAGGGTCGGCCGAATATTTTGCGAAGCTCGCGCGAGGGTCGACCGTAGTCAGCGACCGTCGCCCGATTTTCAAAGACGAAATACGCCCGAGACTCGTGGGATGTACGTCCGAATATCGGTCGACTCTCGGCCGCACAGGGGCGAGCTACGGGCAAGCTACGCGCGAGCTGGAAACGAGCTCTGCGACCTCAAAAATCGCCGGCGACTAGTCGCTGATGTTAAGAACACGTTTCGCGTGTCAGCGAGCTTCGGCCGACTCCAAAAAATCGCCGGCGATCCCGCAAATTCGCGCGATGCTCGACGGAACATCGGGCGTACTACGGCCGTAAATGTCGTTTAGAGCTCGCCAACTAGTCGGCCGATCGATTTACGCGCAATGTGACGGGGGTATAATGACTTGAAGTATTGAACTTGCTCAAGTGTCGTGCCTGCGAAGGTAAGTTCTACTTGAGAATTCATGCCATGTGCTCTTTGCAATCCTATGACATGCTTCTACATTCAGGCAGATTTAACGGTGGCTTACATTCATTCTATTTGCAGAAAATCACTGAACAAGCTTGGATAACCTGCTGGACTGTGCGGATGCTACCGGTATGTGCAGTATTTAAGTATATAATGGTTTCACATAACATATTAACATGATGTAATTTCCCCACAGCCAGAAGCGATTGTGCAATACGAGCATATCCTGTGGGCAATCCGACCTACAAAATCAAAACCAAAATACACCCAAAATCCAAGACCCAACAATCTAACCAGACACACGCAAACCCATCTACTCAACCCACACAGACAACCTACATGTATATGTTTAGTCCTAGAACTGCTTAATATAGGCTTTACCCTAAGGTTAAGAATTAACTTAAGTAGCGATTCACTACTGATCTGCAACATGTGTACATGTACATAATATGTAAATTATGATGATCAATTGCAACTCACGCTGTCCACAGCCAGGATCTTTGCCCAGATGAAGACTAGCAGTGGTCTGAGTTCCCTCGCAGAGCTCTGTAACAACTTCAACACGTATGGGAAGATTCCAACTGACAAGGCCTGGATCAAAACAATCATGGTGTTACCATATTATGAAGCTCATGAGACATCACCTACATGCACAAATGTACCTTAAAAATCCTGCTGTATACATGTTGATTAATTGGATGACATCCACGCGTACATGAATTTTCCAAGTTAAAAAAAAAGTTTTCAACCATACTGTATATGGTACAAAACAGTTGCAAAATGAGCCAATACCCGGTACATGTATATACCAAGTTGCAAAAACTCATGGTGCTCCATTGCTAGTCAGAGAGTGGTCATGTTTCAGGTATATACTGGGACCCGAATATGAGGGCTTGCACGACGTGAGGTTACTCAACCTACGTCGGTTTGCACGCGTGCCGATACTCATTTCCGCGATTGTTTGCACGCGTGTTGTTCCTCAGGCTGTGCTGAGTTCGCACGCGTGTATGTCCTCGCGCTGCGCTGACCTTGCACGCCCGTGGAATTCCTCACAACAAACCGAGTAAACACGCATCTTGTGGGCGCAAAAGTGGAGGGCAGAACGCCGTAATGCCGGATCGAGCCTGACGAACTACCGTTGCGCCATGTTGTGTTCTACATTGTAAATGTATTGTGACTGATATTGTGACTGAAAAATCACGGTGACTGGATTTCCGATGGTCATTTTCTGTTACTAGTTTAAATTTTCGTGTTTCAACTTTTTGTACATATTCAGTAGTTTAAACTTTCGTACCTAAACTTTTTGTACAGATTCGGTTGTACTTTTGTGCAGTACATGTAGTTAGATAATGTAGTAGTGTTTTGTATGTTTTTCCGAAACTATATATAGTCTTGTGTGTATGTGATGTTGCTTTGTTTTAACAGTACCATGTTGTGTTCTACATTATAAGTATACTGTGACTGAAAAATGTGACTGGATGCCCGATGGTCATTTTCTGTTAGTTGTTAGTTGTAGTAAGTTGTATATGAAGGACTAACAAGACAACAGTTAGTAAACAGTATTCCATTGCTATTTTTCCAACAAAACAAAACGAAACCAAACCCTCGACAACAAAACGGAACTTAACGAAACTTAACGAAATTTAACGAAACAGAACGAAATACTACGCAAACAGCTGGTATCTTACTCGTTTTACCTTTGTTACCTTAGCTGTAAGATCGTGTCAGAACGATCATCAGAACTTGTGTTCATATAGCCATCATCCTTGGTAAAGCAAGTGTCCTTGCATTGAACAAAACCGCTTACTTCAACGCGAACGCAACTGGAACAAAAAATATAGTAGGTCAGATGGTCTTTCCCTCTCAAAGCTGACCGCCCATCTCGTAACAGGTCTGGTCTCGTAACGTTACCTGAAAGAAAAAAATGTAACGTTGAAATGAACTCCACGTTGTACGGATCGGACGTAGTGACTTACATGTATTTATCTTTTCGTGTCATCGGAACGCTATGCATGACGTTATAGCGTGGGTCGGGAAACCCGCCATATTTAATTTGTTCCTATCGTTTTATTTCTTCAATGCTGGTATATGAGCGATCAAATAATCAGTATTTTGGCGGGGATAATGATTTAAATCCAAGGACATTGGTGTCTGTGGAATATACAGAACATTTGACAGTGCTTTTTAGATTTTTTTGTCCGCGATCAGGACCGCAAGCCAGTATTATTTTTCGGTCCCTATTTTTCTGTAAAACTAAATCAGAAAAAGTCGGTGATGACGTGTAAGTTGTTGGGGCATTCTAAAAATTGCTGTACTTTCTATCACATTTGTGACCTGTCGCAGTGAAGTGGAAATGTGTGTAGCAAAATTGTGTCACATTTGTATTCAATCATATTTCCATTGATGTCACAAAAAAGGGGGAATAGGTTTATAAATTACCAAACATTGTAAGAATGGCTTTTCTCTATTTTGCATGATGTTCCAATGATATACTGTATTCTGAACCGGTGAGAGCATTTGCTTGTGTAACGATTTAGATTTTATGTGTTGTGTTATTCCGTACTAGTTTGAAAAATGCTTGTTGCGGCGTTATGCCTGGGAGGATGGGCCTAAAAATAACCACAAGAATGGACAGTGTTTTTGTGTTGATATCGGTAATCTCACAAAGTTTGTTTCAGTTCGTACACTCCTACAACGGACGAGTGAAAAATCTTTTCGAATCCGATGCTTGTTCGGAGTTGACGAGCGTGTCAAAAATGCAGGTTTTGCCAGAGACAGCAGCAGACAGAGGTCAATAGGGGTCATTGGAAGACTCCACTGTTACGGAGTTAGAGGTACCGACTGTAAATTATTGATGGATTCTTGTAAATTCTAAGCGTCCCCACAGCCAATGAATGAAAAAGTACATGTGTGTAGTCACTGTGTTTTGTATCATTATTATATTAGGCATTGTATGATGTGATAGATTCGTAAAAATGATATCAGACACCCCTAAAAAGCAATAGAATCACCCA